ATATACCTGGCCTGCGAGAAATTCTGCTACTAGTTGGACTATCGTCGTCGTCGTCGTCGTTGTCGTCTTTGTCTTTGTCTTACGGAAATATCTTCACGCTTGCGCGAGGATCCGCGTAAAACTCGAATCGCCTGTTCTCGACCTTCCACGTCGCGACATCGACCAAATCGACAGTCTGTCGACAATATTTCAAACTAGGCGCTGTTGGGTTCGCTATTATATATTGGTACCAGCAACACAATGAAAAATCGTGAATAATTTGAACTGACTGAAACTTTGTAAAAAAAGTATCCTATAGTAATCACTTTAAAGAGCGAGGCTTCTATCTTGGTGGTTGTGAGTTTGCTTCTTTCGAAGATGAGTTTGACGTCACGTAGCGGATGTGAAACCGAGGACACACCTTTCTCGAAAATCGTCACTAGATCTACCATCGTCTCGAAGATTCAAGTTTCCTCTTTGCCACAGTCACTTGCACAGATTTCTCGTTTAACCCTAACGTTCAATGTTCAACGAAATGATAAAATATGGTACGACGAGTTTCAAGAGGTCGTTGTAAACTGGGAGACTTTAGTCTTCGAACCAACGACAGATCTAGTTATGGAAAAAAATGTTTCAACGTTTTTACACGCGTTCAATTTCGACAATCTTGGGGGAGGAAAAAAAACAAATAAGAGAAAAGTATCCTCACTTTCCCCTCAGTTACAACGATGTAAAGTGTCATCTTGGAAGAAGACGAACTCACGAGCTCTGTCAAAGCAGAGAGAGTTTCACGATTTCATATCAAGACGAGATCAAGTGAATCGTTGTACGATCTTTTTCCCGACAAAATTAGAGTTCGATTTTCCTTATTCGATTAATCGTCACTGGTAGAATTATGCTCTTCACCGAAGATGTCGCAATCGCTTGCTTCACCAATACACGTGTTTCGCGATCGAAAAGAATCGGCTAGTTTTTCGAAATCGCGACGATCAACGCGCCATTTCTCGCCATTTCTTTTTCTATTCGGATGAAATTCGTTAGAAACGAATGCTGTTCATTGTCATTCGCGACAGCGAATATATCCTTTTACACGTCAAGTGCCATACTTTGTTTATCTTTTCGTTTATGCCATTCGCGGTAAGCGGGGAAATTGTTACGAACAAAAATGAGAAGAAATCGTCGGTAGAAACGTGAGAGAAATTGTACGAAAGTTACAGCAAGTTAGCATTCTGTGCTGGAAAGTGCAAAGGAAAACCAATCATATCTTTGCCTATACTGTTTTAGTAAAATCCATTGCAAATTATTGTCGCATTGTTATACTATTTACATAATAATAAATATGAGTGAAAGCAATATTCAGCTATCAGTCTTTCCTGCAATCTTCAAGTTTTTCAATTTTTAGCGCACACGTGTGCTAACTTTGTTTCATCGCAGACTGACCTGACGTGTTAAATGAAATATGTATGACTCTTTTTTATCGTATAATAAATTAATTACCTACAACACAGATTATAATACAGCG